TCTCGAAAAAAAAAAAAAAAAAAAAAAAAAAAAAGAAACCAAAGCTAACGGCCAACAGTTTTATAATTAATATAGCATCTCCTGCCGGGTGTTGGTGGCACATGCCTTTAATCCCAACACTTGGGAGGCAGAGGCATGTGGATCTCTATGAATTCAAGGTCAGCCTGGTCTACAGAGTGAGTTCCAGGACAGCCTCCAAATCAATACAGAGAAACCCTGTCTCAAAAAAAATTATATATGTATATATATATATGTATATATATATATAGTGTCTCCTGTGTTATTTGGGGGCTGAGACAGCAGCAGGACCCAGGCAGCTGGTGGGAAAGAGTGCACATTACACATGTGTTTATGTGTATGTGTGCACTTACATAAGTTTGTGTAGCTTACATTCACATATTGTGATATTGTGGCTTTACAAGAAGGGATCATTACTTAAGGTCGATCTAGGGACTGGGCAGGTGGCTCAGTGGTTCAGAGTGTTTGTTCTATAAACATGAGGACCTGAGTTTGAATGCCTGGTACCCATGTACAAGGTTGGGCATGACTGTGCACACCTATAATCCCAGCATTGTGGGCAGAGACCGGCAGCCTGAGCTCACTGGCTAACCAGCCGAGTCAAAATGGCAAGCCTCCAGAGCAGTGGCAGCCTCCCTGTTGACACCTTCCTCTGGCCTCTGCATGCATGCACCACACCACACCACACACACACAGACACACAGAGACAGACAGAGACACATACACACACACACAGACACACACACACACACAGAGACACACACACAGACACACACACACACACAGAGACACACACACAGACACACACACACACAGAGACACACACACACAGACACACACACAAAGACACACACACACACACACACACACACACACCCTCACACAACTGTAAAAAGAACTGTCAGGAGACCCGGAGCCGTGCTGTTACCTAGCGAGTTCCAATTCAGCCTCTTGTACCCAGAGCGGAACACCCTGAGAAGCTCCTGGGAATGGTCGTCCAGGAGCGCCGTCTCTGCCTCGTTCAGCGTGTTGACGAGCAGGTGGTAGTGATCCAGCATGCGCTGGATGCCTTCTGTGTACCTGAGTGCCCGGCACAGGGAACAGTGAGAGACGCCGGGCAGGACACAAGCTTAAGAACCACAGTACTGTGTCCCCCAGAGGCCTGGCTCGCTGGCAGCTTCCATTAGGACATTCGCACAGGGCTCAGGGCAGAGTGTGTGCAAGGCCCCGCCCATCCCCAGAGCCACAGGGGTAACTGTCACTCACATCCACGGGGAGGGGACTGCTACTGTTCTGGGCCAGAGCAGCCACTCCACAAACAATACAGAGAGATGTAAACATGCAAGAGGGATCTGTGAGGAGGGGGAGGGCAGACGGGGTGGGAGGGAGGTGGGACTGGGGGAATGGCCAGAATGCAAAGTGTACATAAGTGAAACTGTAACTATAATAAGAATCTTTTTTTTTTAAGAAATGAGTTGGACACAGTGGTGCATGCCTTTAATCCTAGCACATGGGAAGCAGAAGCAGGTGGATGTCTGTGAGTTCCAGGCCAGCCTTCAACTCTACACAATGAGATGATGTCTCAAAACAATTAACATTTTAACTTTTATTTTTTAAATCGGAATAAAATTAAATTAGAGATTAAGTAAAAATGCATGGAAGTAACAAAAGCTTTGTGGGGAAGGCTCCGCAATCAGCTTTGGGAGTGTCAGGTAGTGGTGCTGAAGGGAAAATGAGTTGATAAAGTGTTTCCCTTGCAAAGATGAGGCCCTGAGTTCGATCCCCCAGCTCCCGTGTATAAAGCCACACGGTGGCATACTCCTGCAATTCCGGAACTAGGGAGGTAGAGACAGGCAGATCTCCGCGACTCACTGGCTGGCCAGCCTCGTCAGGCCAGTGAGCCGCAGACCAGGGAGAGATTCTGCCTCACAAACAAGGTGAACAGTGTCTAAGGACAACACCCAACATAGACCTCCTGGTTCCACATGCTCGTGCACCTGAAACACACAAATGCACAAGTGTGCACGTGCACATACGTATGCACATGAGAGACACAGACACATGTACACACACACACAGACACACATACATTTAAAAACAACAACAGCAAAAAAGAGTGTCAAGAGGTCCTGAGACCAGTGTCCCCTCTAATTGAAGAAGGGTCTTCTCACCTGAGGAATTTGTCTTCCTGGAGGGCCACATTCCTCGCCAGTTCAGGGACAGTGAATCCCAGCTGCTCTAAGTACTTGGTTTCGTTAATAATCTCTCTGAGAGTAGGAGAGAAGTTAATGACAAACATGGATCCCTTTTCCACTGGGGGCGCATCCTCGGTGTTCTGTGGAAGAGACGGTGCACAGCTTGAAAACGACTGTCTGTCGCTGCTGGTAAAGCTCACTAGACATGATTGACAGAGGTCAGTGTGGTCCCTTTCCCCCAAAAGATGGATACAGACTGGAAACAGCGGGCTACACATTCTGTTTTGCAGAGATGTTCAATAACCTAGTTTTGGGCTGGTGGTTCAGTGTGTAAAATGATAGCTCTGCAAGTAGGAAGACCTAAGTTTGGATTCTCAACTGTGTGAAATTTCAGGCATATGTGAATGTGTGCATACCACAATAATACCAGAGAGAGAGAGAGAGAGAGAATCAGATTGGACAGAAGGATTCTGGGAGGTTGCAGGGTCAGTCAGTCTAGCCAAATCCATGAGTTCTTGGTTCAGTGAGAGACCCTGTCTCAAAATATATTGTTGGGGTTGACTGAGGGAAACTATGATGTCAACCTCTGGTCTCTGCATATGTGAGCATACATGTGAACACCATACACACACACACACACACACACACACACACACACACACACATTCAGTTTAGCAGCCCTAGATCCAACGGGACTACAGAGTGAGTTCAAGATCAGCTTAGGCAACTGAGTGAGACCCTGCCCCAAAATAAAAAGGAAGACAGCCAGGGCTACTTCTCAGCAGTAGATAGCCTGTGTAGAATCCCTCAGAGAGGGGCTGGGGATGTGGCTAAGTGGTCATGTGCTTATCTGGCATGTCCAAGGTTTTGAGTTCAATCCCCAGCCCTGGGCGGGGGTAAAATAATTTCATTTAATTGCCAATACTAGAATGTTAGGCAAAGCTCTATAAAAATGGAGGTTTCTGGCTTTTCTTGGAAAACAGGGAAGCCAAATTACATTGGCAGGCACAGCTAAAATTGGATAGCTGACACCCCAGACCTGAACAACTCCAGTTTCCCCAGGTGTACGGCTCACTCTGCCCACTAGAAAGAGTACCAGGGACAACAGACATAAAACTGCCTGGTCAACAGATACTGACCTCCTGAGCATTGGCCACATGCCAGGCCCAAAGCCACAAAAGAGGGAGGCATGTGGGAAAGTTTAAAAACAGTCACCTGTGGGGTGACTCAGTGATAAAAGGTGCTTGCCACCAACCTGAGTAAAACCCATCACCTGTGACTCGTGTACGATTCAACTAGGGCTTCACAGATTTCTGTCACCCAGTCCACTCAATTCGTTTAACGCGTGTGCGTGTGTGCAGGTGTATGGAGGGTGTGTGTGTGTACATGAGTGTGAAGGAAAAAGAGAACAGCCTTGGGCGTCATTTCTCCAGGGCCTTCTGTCTTTTTTCCCTTTAGATTTGATTTTTACACAGGCACAGACACACACAGATACACACACACACACACACACACACACACACACACACACACACACACACACGGAACGGGTTTATGCACGTGAATGCAGGTACCCAGGGAGGCCAGAAGAGAACATCAGAGGCCCTGGGGCTGGAGTCACAGGCAGTTGTGAGCCCCCCACCCCACCTGCCCCCACGCGCCACGTGACTATGAGGACTCAAACTCGGGCCCTCTGCGAGGGCAGCATACACTCTTAACCACTGAGCCATCTTCTCTCCCGCCGCACCTTTTCTTTTGAGTCAGGGTCTCTCACTGGCTGGGAACACCCAAGGTGCGCATGCTTCCAGCTGAGCCATCTCCCCGCCCCCTCGAGAGGACGGTGGTGTGCTGCCCTCTATGGGCCATGTGGAAGGGCGCACCTTGGTTAGAAGGCTCTTCTTCATGAGGTTCGGGAGGCTCAGCTCCGTGGTGTCCTTCCACTGCTCATACTTGCGGTCTTCATAGTCCTTCATCGCCCTGCCCACCTCCAGGTACCTCTGTTTCACCTAGAATTGCAGAAACCGTCATTTCGCTCCTGGAAATGGCACCTTCTCCTCTGTCTGCTGCCCTGGATCTTTCTTCGTATGTGTGTGTATTGTAACCTACCGTGATGCATTTTGGAGAAGGAAAACAGCATTTTCACAGATTTTGGAAGGTCTGCCTGAGATCATCTGACTTGAAAGCCAGCAGGCCACAGTCTGTGCGTGAGAAGAGGTGTAAATGTGTTTTCAAGGCTGGAGAGACACTCGGCAGTCAAGGGCACTGGCTGCCCTTCCAGAGGATGTGAGTTCAGATCCCAGCACCCACGTGGCAGCTCCCATCCACATGTAAGCCCAGCTCTCGAGGATCTGATGGCCTCTGCAGGCACCTGCACACATGTGTGTGAACTCCCACACAGACAGGTTTCAATGGCTACAGGAAGCAAAAGGAAGCCAGGGGTGGTGGCACACACCTGTAACCTCACCACTCAGGGCAGGGAGGCAGGACAGTCACAAATTGCAGGTCAACCTGAGCTATGGAGCAAGACCCTGCCTCAATAAAATAAACAGAATCAGGAAATTATGAGACCATCCGTGCCCTCTAACATGTGGACGTCACACTGGGAAGGCCTGTTTGTCCATCCCTGTGTCACCAAGAGCAGCTTCCTTGGATCAACCTAGCAGCATGGATCATGACCTTCAAATGTCTCCAACATAAGCTATATGGATTTTTTAGACAATGTATTTTACTTTTAGTTATGTGTCTGTGAGTGTGCACCTAAGTGCGATGGCCCATGGGGGCCAGACGTATTGGATCCTCTGGAGCTAGAGAGTTCTAGGTGATTGTGAGCCACCCAATGTGGGAGCCGGAATGGAACTCAAGTCTCCTGAGAGAGCAGTACTTGCTGTACACCACTGAGCTACCTCTCTAGCCCCAAACTCTATAGTTCGTTAAAGAAAGCATCTGTCAGCGCCTGCTTTACCTCATAAAAAAAGTTCTGTGGCAAGATATGGCCAGTGTCAAAAAGGCAGTGGCTGTGGGCTGAGCTGGTAGAGCGTTTGCTTAATATGACCTCAGGGTTCCATCGCCAGCACCACACAAGCCAAAGGCGGTGGCCCCATCTCAGCCTAGCACTTGGGAGACGGAGGCAGGAGAATCCAGGAGGTCAAAGTCGTCTCAGGTACACAGAGAGTTCAAGGTCAGACAGCTATGTAAGACTGTCTCAAAAATAAATGTAAAAGAGAATGAATGAGTAGATTAGATAGACAGATAGATAGATAGATAGATAGATAGATAGATAGATAGATAGATAGATAGATGATAGAGATGATGCATGGATGGATGGATGGATGGATGGATGGATGGATGGATGGATGGATGGATGGGTGGATGGGTGGGTGGGTGGGTGGGTGGGTGGGTGGGTGGGTGGATGGGTGGGTGGGTGGGTGGGTGGGTGGGTGGGTGGGTGGATGGATGGGTGGGTGGGTGGGTGGGTGGGTGGGTGGATGGATGGATGGATGGATGGATGCATCATGACAGTGGTCATCCTTCAAAACAGTCCTATCCGAGGGGAAGCAGGCATCATGAGCACTGAGACAGGAAGAGAAGGAAGCAAGAGGGGGCCTCAGATACAAAGACTCAGGAAACAGGGCGTCTACAGGTACGTGCCCGCCTATGGCCAGCCGTGGGGGCAGCCACCAAGCTGGAGGTGAGGAACACAGCCAGCCTCCCGAGGCGGTGACATACCTCCTGGCCCCGCTCACTGTCCAGGAGTTCCTCGACTTCCTGGAACCTGAGGATGGTATGCTTGATCCTGTAGAAGAGGGAACGCTCCCAGCATATGGCCCCCGCCACCGGGGGGTGGTTCTTGTACAGCGGCGGGTTGCCCAGGTTCTGCACAAAGATCTTATTGACGATGTCGATCTGAAACGCCAGTGGGACAGACAGACATGGCTTCAGTGGAGGGTGGGACTCTTGCAAGGAATGTAAATAAGGGCTGAGGATGGCAGAGCCTTGGGCCAGCTGAGGCCCTGGGGTCTATGGGCAGGGCGGGTAAGATTTAAATAAGATGGAGAATTTGCGGTTGGCATAGTATTTACTACTTTTACTCCCTTACGCTCTCCAATCTCTTTTCTTCTAGGTGCTCCAAGTTGTGTGCATTAAAATAGCATACCACACACCCTGTACACACTGGCTTGATTGAATTATTTGAAATCCAGAAATCTCTCCTAGAGATGACCATTGGCAGATGTGCATTTTAAAAGAGCCGTCTCTAGGCGGGGCCGTGGCCCTGCGTTCACTGCCCAGGCAGCCATGGGTTTCCTGGTTACCTCCTTGTAGTACTGTGCCAGAATATCATTGAATTTCATCATCATCTGCCGGTTGATGGCCTCCCGGGAGCGGATATGCTTGAACTTCAACAGCATGTCAAAGGCCGCTTCCGCTGACCGGAGGGTTTTGAAAGATTCGTCAATAAAATTTTTTGCTTCTTTCTCAATAACCTGTCAGAAGAAAACAGAAGAATAAGAATAAAGGGAGAAAGAGAGGGAGGGGGAGAGGGAGGGGAGAAGGGAGTGGTGGGGCAAGAAAGGAAAAGAGGGGAGGGGGAGGAGAAGGAAGGGGAGGAGAGGAGAGGGGAGCAGGGTGTGTGCCTGTGTGAATGTGTGCACATGTGTGTGCATGTGTGTGCAGGTGCCTGCAGCAGAGGAGGAGAGAAGCCAGGGCTGGGGACTCAGCAGCTTGGGCAGGCCTCTTCTCCTGTCTCAGTGAGAGCGGCCATCTGGTCAGAGGAACTTGCCAGGGCTGGGGGATGGCTCAGTGGGGAAAGTGCTTGCCTTGCAAAGGTGAGGATCCAAGTCGGGACCCCAGGCCCCACATGAAAACCTGGTGGCCACACCTGTAAACCCCTGAGGGTGGGGGCAGAGACAGGGGCCCTGCCTCAAAGGAACGTGTGGAGCATGGCAGAGCAAGACATGCCCTCCTCTGGCCTCTGCATGAGTATACAGATGCATGCAACACACACGCGTGTGCACGCGCGTGCGCGCACACACACACACACACACACATCTTTAAGAGGAGCACTGTGAGCATGAGTAAACACGGGGAGGCCTGGCCTCTGCTTCTGTGGTTGAGTTGATGGCTGTGTTACTTGCCAGAACTTCAATCTTGAAGTCATCCATCACGTATTTCCAGTATGGGGAGGACTTGATGCTGAAGGGGTCAAAACTCAAGTTTTCCATCGGGGTGACCAAGCTGTCTACCCTGCAAAGGACATCGTCGATACGCTTGGGGTCCCCTGTCACAGCTTTGAGCTCTGGGCCAAATATGTTGTAAAATTCTTCTATGACCTGGGGGCGGGGGTGGGACAGAATGGAAGGGAGCTAAATCCTTTGGTTTACTCTGAACACTCTAACCATAAAAAACATCTTGAGATTAACCCACAGGCAGCAGGCCCGACCCACAGGCAGCCTGCTCCCCGTCTGAGGTCTTTGGTGCTATGCCCATGCAACAGGGTAAGGTTCAGAGGCCCCGGGGCTGGAGAGATGGCTTAGATTTTGTTCCAGAGGACCTGGGTCCCATTCCCAGCATCCACGTACAACCCTCTGTATCTTTCTCACTCCAGATGCTTCCTGTGTGAGGCAGCCACCCTGACTAGACACGCCATCTTACAAGAACAACAGAGAATAAGGGCGCCTGCACGCTGAGGTGGGGGAGTGGCTGGTGAGACAGGAACTAAAAACAACCCAGCCTGGCATGTGAGTCTCTGCTATTCTGATGATGCTCAAGCGAGCATGCATTTGCTGGGCGTTGGTGGCGCACGCCTTTAATCCCAGCGCTCAGGAAGCAGAGGCGGGCTGATCTTCCAGTTCGAGGCCAGCCTCGTCTACAACATGAGTTCCAGGACAACCAAGGATACACAGAGAGAAACCCTGTCTCAACAACCAAAAAGAAAAAGAAAAAGCTTATGTATCATTCTAGTGACTCCAAGTTAGAATAAAGGGATTTATTTATTTACTTACTTTGAGACAATGTCTTATTATATAATTCTGGATGGCCTGGAACTCTCCAGATAAACCAGGCTGGCCTCAAGCTCACACTTGCATACCACCACACCCATCAATTTTATATTTGGAATTTCTGTTGACCTTGCACCATATAAAGATGCACTGGAAGCCAGGCATTGGTGGCGCACGCCTTTAATCTCAGCACTCGGGAGACAGAGGCAGGCGGATCTCTGTGAGTTCGAGGCCAGGCTGGTCTACAGAGAGAGTAACAGGACAGACTCCAAAGCCACAGAGAAACCCTGTCACAGAGAAAAACAAAAACAAAAACAAACAAACAAAAAAAGATACACTGAGGTTGGTGTGTGGCTGGCCGCCCAGACAGTACGCATGTGCACCTCCCCCCAAAAGCTGGCGGTGGGGTCAGGTCGCTGCAGAGCTGGTAGTGATCAGAGGGAGAGTTAACAGCGATGAGGCTGGCAGTGGGAAGGTGTGGGGTGGGGAGAACCACATGGGAATCAAAGTCAGGACAGGCAAGTGCCTAGGACAAGGAGACCTCAGGAGGTGGTCTGCCAGCAGAGGGGGGGCGGTGCGGAGCACAGAGAGACGCTGCAAAGCCTGCTGGGAAAACGATTCAGTCAGTAAGAAGCATGAGGACCCACATTTGATTGACAGGCATGGTGGCTTGTGCTTGTTATCCCAGCACTGGGGAGGTGGAGTCAGATGGGTCTCTGAGGGTCACTGACCAGCCGACCTAGATACACATCCACAGTCACAAAAGACCCCGGGGTGCAGCAGGACGTTCTGGTACATTCTAGACTATCCTCTTCGTTCTTCTTTCAGACGTTTCTATCAGACCCTTTCAGATCTCCAGAGTCTACCCAACATGGTGGCATCCCCTATCCAAAGGCCAGAACGGTTCCTCCCATCAGGCACATCTGCACACATCCCAGACAGCATGGCTACTACCTGCAGGATATCTGTGAGGTCTTGGCAGATGCTGGCCATGTAGTCTGTTCTCTCAAACAGCCGCTTCCGGTCAAACTCCCACCGTGCCTCCCTGCCAGAGGCCTCAATCTTGGCCCGGATGTCGAAGTAGGATTTCTTCCATAGCTTGAGAGTGTTTCTGGCCTCCAGGGTTTTGTGCTGGGCACTCGCTCTGTTTTCTCTGTTAGGCCAAGAGATGTCAGGCTTGGAACAAAGACACTATCCCTGTCATCCTGTCACCCACCCACTCTGCCCCGCTGCCGCCGCAGCCGTCCAGCCTAGCTTCTGGGAAAACATGGCTACCTGAGTAGGACAGTAGGCGGCCTTGGCGCCTGTCCCTGTGGTCACTGTGTAGCCTCAACCTTGGAGCACAGACCCTGCGTGGAGCTGACTCACCCATGCGCAGAGTGAGAGAACGGCGGAGTGCAGCCCCATGCCTGTGTCTAGCTTTGTGAGACCCTGGATTTGATCCCCACATCACAGACACCCGACAGGCCAGGCCTCCTGAGGGCCCAGGCCTAGGACTGAGCATGCCCTGGTCATTCACCTTAGTTTCTCCAAATATGAATAAGGAACAAAGTCCCACTCAAAACCACATGCGTGGAGCTGGAGACACGGCTCAGCCTTGCAGAGCACGTGCTGCTCTGTCGTGAGGGCCAGAGTTCAGACCCCATCATGCACTTCAGGCGGCTCACGGCACATGCAACTGGAGCTCCAGGGGACCTGACGCCCTCTTCTGGCCTCTGCTGCAGGCACCTGCACACACGTGTGCATTCACTCACACAGGCACACGTCCATACACATAAGTAAAATAGGCCATGCAGGGTGACACATCTCTTTAAGGCCAGCACTTGGGAGGCAGAGGCAGGCAGGTCTATGTGTCAAGTTCCAGGCTAGCCAGAGATACACAATGAGACCCTGTCTCAAAAATAAATAAATAACTCATATACCTACATAACTGTGTTTTACACAATATAATCATATATGGAATTTTGTGTGACACTGTGTAAATAAAATACATATGCTATATTTTAACAAGTGATAAGAAGGGATAAGTTCAGGTGATGCACATACATCATGGGCAAACCTTGAGGATGTCATGAGGAATGAAACATCACCCAGAAAAGACTTGGTGTTGTATGATCTCCACGCCTTGGGACTTGGAGAGGGAGGAGCTCTGAAGTGACTAAAAGATTTCAGGCTTCTTTGGGACATGAAGAGAATGTTGTTTTAAATATATGTGCTAAAAATCTATGTGCATATGTGTGCATAAGACCACATGAGTGCAGTACTCAAGAATGCCAGAAGGGGGCACCAGATTCCCCCTGGAGCTCTAGTCCAGGCAGGCTGCTGCAAGCTTCCTGTGGGTGCTGGGAACTGAACCCAGGTCCTCTGTAAGAGCAGCAAATGCGGGGCTGGAGAGGTGGCTTGGGGCTGGAGAGATGGCTCAGAGGTTAAGAGCACTGACTGCTCTTCCAGAGGTCCTGAGTTCAATTCCCAGCAACCACATGGTGGCTGACAACCATCTACAATTCAATCTGGTGTATATGTAATAAATAAATCTTAAAAAAAAAGAGCAGCAAATGCTCTCAGTTGCTTAGCCGCCTCCTCAGCCCCATAAAGAATGCTCTTAAGTCAACTGATATGATGGCTAGTACATTGAGAGCATTTGAGTCTCTGTGATGTTGTTCTGCAGTGCTGGGGACGAAACCACGGCCCTTGGTATACCCGGCACCTGCTCCATTGCTGAGCCCTACACCCAGCCTTGAACTGTGCACAGCCTGGACTCCAGGAGGAAACCCCAAGGGACCGGTGGCTTCTCACTTGAACAGAGTGCGCAGGTTGATGACTCGGCACACGCGCTCAGCAATCTCCCAGGCAATGCGCTCCATGAGTGGGATCATCCTCTCGTCCCTGTTGTAATGTCTGGAGATGATCCACACCATGCGCAGGGCACTCATCATGGACGGGATGGTGTCCAGGACCACGTGGAAGTTGGAACCGTGTGTGATATTCTGCCAAAGCCAGAGAGAGGGGACAGAAGAGGGACTTAGCCTCAAGTCCAGGAAATAAATCCCCCTCTGTTTTTTTTTTAAACAGGGTCTTGCTATGTTGCCTAGACTAGCCTCAAAATTACTACATATTGGAGGATGACCTTCAACACCTGATCCTCTCCCCTCTACCTTCCAAGTGCTGGGATTACAGGTGTGTACCACCACACCTGGCTCCCGGAGAGTTTTTGTTTTCTTGCTTATTTATTTGAGACAGGATCTCACGATGTAGCCCAGGCTGTCATGTTTTATTACAGCAACAGGAAGCAAGCTAGGAAAATGACACATCGCATGCATA